TCAGCTTTCCAAGTAGCCAGAATTATAGGCATGCGCTACCATGCCCGGATATTTTTTGATTTATTGTAGAGATGAGGTCTCGCTGCCCAGGCGGGTCTCGAACCCGCAGGATCAGGCAATCCACTCACCTCAGCCTCCCAAAGGTGCGGGATTACAGGCTGAGCCACCGAGCCTGTCTTGTATAAAGAAATGTGATGGGGAAGTGGATGGGTAAGGGAAAAAGAGAAATGTAACTGGCTTAAAATTAAAAAAAATTTTTTTTTTTCTTTTTGAGATGGGGTTTCTCTATGTTGCCTAAGCTGATTTTGAACTCCTGGCCTACAGCAATCCTTCCACCTCAGTCTCTCAAAGTGCTGAGATTATAGGTGTGAGTCACCATACCCCGGCCATGATTGACTTTTAATCTTATTTTTATCCAAATTTCTAAATTATCTCAATTTGTAGAGTCAATATGTACAGTTGTATTATATATAAGTAACAAAAGTTTTGTTTTTCCCTTCCCTATCCTTGTATCTTTTTACCTTTATTTTTCTTGACGTCCTGGCTAGGGCCTTCAGTATAATGTTAAACGGAAGTAGAGTAGTGAATATCCTTACCTTAATCCTATTTTTTAAAATTTTTATTGTTAGAGACAGGATCTTGCTCTGTTGCCCTGGCTGGAGTGCAGTGTCATGATCATAGCTTACTGTAACCTTGAATTACTTGGCTCAAGTGATACTCCTGTGTCAGCCTCCCAAGTAGTTAGGTCTACAGGAACACACTACCACGCCTACCTAATTTTTAAAATTTTTTGTAGAGATAGGGTCTTGCTATGTTTCTCAGCTGGTCTCAAGCAGTCCTCCCATGTTGGCCTTCCAATGCGCTAGGATTATAGGTAAACTACAATGGCTACATTTTTAAAAGCGCTTCTAACATTTAGCCAATCAGAATGATGCTGGCTATATGCTTTTGGTTTATATACTTTATCAGGTTAAGGAAGTTTCCTTCTATTTATATATGCTAAGGTTTTCAAAATCAAAAAAATTTTGAATTGGTAATTTGAATTTACCAGTATTTATGGTAAGCTTTTCTTTTTTAATTTTAAATTGGTAATGAATTTTAGTAACTTCTATTTCTGCATCTTTCAAATAGCTCTATTCAGGTATAGTTTACATACTAAAAATTCACTCTGTTTAAGCATACAATTCAAGGCTTTTAGTAAGAGCTCACACCCATTTTATTTCTGCATGTTTTGAAATGATCTTGTGGTTTCCTCTTTGAATTTGTTAATGTGATGAATGACATTTATTTTTCTAATGTGAAACCAACCTTGCATTTATAGAATAAATACAACTTAACCATCATGAATTATTTTTATACACTACTAGATGCAGTTTTCTAAATTTTATTTAGAATTTTTGCTTTTGTATTTATAAGTGAATTGCCTGTATAATTTTCCTTTCTTTTACTGTTATTGATGAGTTTTGTATTAGTTACACCAGCTTCATAGAATGAATTGGGAAGCATCCCTTTTCTCCTGTTCTCTGACAGAGTTTGTGAAGGATTGAAATAAAGTGTACCTTGAACATTTGGAAGAATGTTACTTTTTTTTTTTTTTTTTTTTGAGTAGGAGTCTCACTCTGTCACCCAGGCTGGAGTGCAGTGGTATGCTCATTGCCATCACAGCCTTGACCTGCTGGGCTCAGGTGATCCTTCCACCTCAGCCTTCAAAGTAGCTGGAACCACAGGTGCGTGCCACCACACCTGGCTAATTTTTAAAAACTTATTGTAAAGATGAGGTCTTACCAAGTTGCCCAGGCTGGTCTTGAACCCCTGTACTTAGGCAATCCTCTCACCTCCGCCTCCCACAAGTGCTGGAATTACAGGCGTGAGCCACTGCGCCCAGCTAAAATGTTACTGTTTAATTATCTATGCTGGCTGTTTTCCTTGGGGGATGTTTTGAAATTACTCATTTAATTTCTTTAGTTGTTATCGGCGTTCAGATTTTCCTTAGTCTACTTGAACTCAATAGGCAAGTTTTATTTTTTGAGTATTTGTCCATTTGTTTTCAATTTTGTTAGCTTAAAGTTGTTCAGAACATTCTTTTATTATTTTTAAATTATTATTATTATTTTTTGAGTTGGAGTCTCACTCTGTCACCCAGACTGGAGCGCAGTGGCCGCTCCCGGCCACCGCAGCCTCGACCTGCTGGGCTCAGGCGATCCTTCCGCCTCAGCCTTCCACGTAGCTGGAACTACAGGCGTGTGCTACCACACCCGGCTAGTCTTTTTTTATTTATTGTAGAGATGAGGTCTCGCCAAGTTGCCCACGCAGGTCTCGAACCTGCGAGCTCAGGCAATTCACTCACCTCGGCCTCCCAGGCTGAGCCACCGAGCCTGGCCTATTTTTAATTTTTTTAACTCCATGGTTAGACCCTTCTTTTGTTTGTCTCTGCCTTGTCTTTCTTCATTAACTCCCAAGAGATGTGTCTGTTTTATGAGTCTTATTAACTAACTTTTGACTGTTAATCTTGCTGGATCTTTGTTTTCTAATTCAACTTTTGTTCTTATTTTCATTATCTCCATTCTTCCATTTTTGTCCATTTATTTTTCCCCCTAACTTGTTAAGTTTGATGTCAGCTCATTAATATTTCACATTTTTTCTTAGACAAGCATTTAGGCCTATAGATTTTTCTCTATTTTTGTTGTACCCCACAAGTTTAGATGTGCAGTCTTTTCCAGTTCTGAGTATTTTCTGATTTCTGTTTTGGTTTATTATTTGACCCATTACTTAGTTTTTGTTCTGTTTTAAAACTTACAAGGATTTTGCTTACCTTTTTGTTGTTGATCTGTAATTTACTAGAATTGAGTTGAGAAACAGTAATTTTGTATGATATCAGTCTTCAAATTTTATTTTGGATTATTCTATGACCTAGTACTGGGTCAATATTTATAGTCTTCCTCGTGTTCTTAAATCTGTAGTTGTTGGGTTCAGGGTTCTATCTGTATTCAATAAATCAAGCATATTAATTACGTTTTCAAGTATTTTAGATCTTTGCCTTTTAAAAAAATCTGCTTGACTTATCAGTAATTGTGGTGTGTTAAAATCTAATGTGGTATATTTTGTCAATTTCTCCTTCAAGTAATTCTATAAGGCCAACACAAGTTTAGAATTGTAATATCTTCCTGGAAAATTGATGTACAGATCCATCTTTTATGTAGAGATTCATCTAAAAAAATGTGTGTGCATGTTTAATCTGGAAATCTCTTTTGTCTGTTATTTATTAGCTAACTTAGATTTTTGTTCTTGTATTGTATCAGTCAGGTCTGGATCAGAGAAGCAGAACCACCATGAGGGATACAACATAGGGAGATTCACTTTATGGATTAGACCTTACACAATTGTGGGAACTGGTTAAGAACTCTGAAAGGCTCTTTACTTTCCATCTATTGTTGAGTCTGAAGTCATTGGCTGCCATCCAGAAGGAGAGTTGGACATGAAGTGGGGAGGAGCAAGACAACCTGGAAACCCTGAGGAGGACAAACTTGAAACCTGCATCTGTCTCGTTTCCTACAACATTGATGATATGGGTGACCTTCACGAGAAGCTGGTGTCCTTTGCCATGCAGCTACACACACACCTGGCCCAGGGTCCAGAGAGGTTGAAGATGATCCAGCAGAACCTAAAGGAGATGTGGCCAGATGCTGCCCTATGCCAATAAGGAGAACTACTAAATCGACAACATTGTACACGAGCCGCCTGTTCCTGGTACCCTATGTCAGCCTTCAGAGGGTAAAAATGGTGGCTCTTTCATTTGTGCCTTCCAAATCTCATGGAAATTTCTCTCATGGTCAATTGGAACCACTTAGGGAAGAGAATTCTTGGAAGTATAGTTCCAGCTAGTTGACAATACAAGACTATAGTATCTTATACCCTCGTTAGGACAGTGGGAAACTCTTAGAACACCTTAACTCTGTCTTGTTCCAACTGACATGATATTATTTTCTAATATTTTAATTCTTTCTTTAAATACAAATCAAAAGCCATTGTAAATATCTTATATAGATAATTTTTGCTTATATTTACCTCGTATCAATTTCTCACCATTCGTTCTTGCAACTAAGACTTTCCTTCTGTGAGCATTTTCCTTCTCTCCAATGTATATCCTTTAAAAGTTATTTTATTAAAGATATGATGGTAGTAAACATTTTAGTTTTTGTTTGCCTGTTAATGCCTTTATCTTTCCTTTTTTTTTTTTTTTTTTAAATTCAGAGTCTCACTCTGTCACCCAGGCTAGAGTGCAGTGGGGCACACTCACAGGGCCACCGCAGCCTCCACCTGCTGGGCTCAGGTAATTCTTCTGCCTCAGCCTTCCAAGTAGCTGGAACTACAGGCATGCGCCACCAAGCCAAGTTAATTTTTTTATTTATTGTAGAGACAAGGCCTCACCATGTTGCTCAGGCTGGTCTGATCCCCTGAGTTCAAGCAATCCTCTTGTTTCCACCTCACAAAGTGCTGGGATTATAGATGTGAGCCACTGTGCCTGGCCTCCTTTGTTCTTGAAAAGATGACACTTTGAAAATATCTTTTCTCTGCTTGCATTTAAGATCATCTCTTAAGCTGTTGTATTACAGTTTCACTATAAGATACCTGTGAAATTTTTTCTATATCTGTGGATTCACTTCCTTTATGCTCTTTCCTTCTGGGACTCCAATTAGATGTGTGTGTGTGTGATCTTATTATGTTTTTCATATTGCTTAATGTTTCTTTCATATTTTCTAACTCTTTGTCATTCTATGCTGCATTCTGGGAAATTTATTTCATCTTATATTTCATTTCACTGGAAATCTGCAGCAATGTCGAATCTTTTCTTTAACCCATCCACTGAATTTTTTATTTTAGCAAATATATTTTTCATTTCTAGAATTTCTACTCAGTTCTTTTTTACATTTGTCTGCTCTTTTTTTTTTTTTTTTTTGAGTTGGAGTCTCTCTCTGTTGCCCAGGCTGGAGTACAGTGGCACACTCCTGGGCACCGCAGCCTCGACCTGTGATCCTTCCACTTCAGCCTTCCAACTACCACGCCCAGCTAATTTTTTTATTTATTGTAGACACCAGGTCTCACCATGTTGCCCAGGCTGGTCTTGAACTGCGGGCTCAGGCAATCCTCTCGCCTCCAGCCTTCCAAAGTGCTGGGATTATAGGCTTGAGCCATTGCACCTGGCCAGTCTGCTCATTTTAAAAATAATCTCTTGTTGCTTGAACCCCTGGACTCAGGCAATCCTCTCACCTCTGCCTCTCAAAGTGCTGGGATTACAGGTGTGAGCCACCATACCCAGCAATTATTCTGCATTTTTACTTTTTCCACTATTTGAAATTTGTGGGGTTTGCTTGTTGTTTCTGCTGATTCTGTAATACCGTGGTTTGTTTTCTTATATCTCCCATTGTGAGCTCATGTTTGATTGGCCTCCTCTGTCTCCTTTTATGACTCTTCTTCCTTTACCTACCCTTAAATATTGGTATTCTTCAAAGTTCTATTCTTGGATATTTTCTTGCTCTTCTTTGACAACTTCATCCACTCCTATGACTTCAGCTCCCATTTACATGATGATGACTTCAAAATCTTTATATCTGTAGCCCAGACCTCATTACCTTCACTTCAGATAAGTATAGCCAACTGATCACTAAACATCTTTTCCTACATGTCCTCAAATATTTTTGTCCTAAAATGAACCCCAACTCACTAATCTGCTATTCCAAAAGATACTTGGAAACCTACATTGAGGATGTTTTCCATCATAGAAGATATTTATGTCATGTGCATATGTGTGTAATGGATGTGTGTGTGGGGGGCAGAAACATTAAACCTTCTGGTTCAGATTAGAATTAACAGATTTAGTTCCTCTCCCTTTCAGCTAGGAAAGGCTTAAATGCTTGCTGATACTGGCATTTGACCTCAGGGCAATCCTGTCTTAAGTATACTTACCACTCACCTCCAAGAGAGTTCAAAACAAAATAAAAATTCTTTTTTTGCAGGATTTAGTTGTTTTGAAGCAGGAGGGCCCTTCAGAGTTTCTTTTCTTTTCTTTTTTCTGAGTTATAGAGTCTCACTCTGTTGCCCAGGCTGGAGTGCAGTGGCATGCTCACAGCCACCGCAGCCTCAGGTGATCCTTCTGTCTTAGCTTTCCAAGTAGCTGGAACTACAGACACGTGTCACCAAGTTACCCAGGCTGGTCTCGAACCCCTGGGCTCAAGCAATTCTCTCACTTTGGCCTCCCAATGTGCTGGGATCACAGGCTTCAGCCACTGCGCCCGGCCTCCTTCAGTTTCTAGACCACCATACTGCCAGAGGCAGAAGTTATTCCTTCATTCTTAATCCCACTGCTATCTGATTTTCACTCTTCTCCATTTGTTGAAGCTGATTGGCCAGCTTACCAGGAGCCACTACATCTAAGAGATCCCTTTATGTGTTGCCAACATTTGACATAGACCTTTGTTTAATAATGCTTTCTTTATTGGTTTGTTTTCCTCTCTCTCTGGCCACAATTCTTTGTCTCCTTTTATGACCCTTCTTCCTTCACCTACCCTTAAATATTACTACTCCTCAAACTTCTATTCTTGGCCATTTTCTTGCTCTTCTTTGGCAATCTTATCCACTCCTATGACTTCAGCTACCACTTATATGATAATGACTTCAAAATCTTTCTTTTCCTTCACTTCAGATAAGTATATCCAGCTACTCAGTAAACATCTTTTCCTGAGTGTCCTCAAATATTTTTGTCCTAAAATGAACCCTAAATCACTAATCTACTATTCCAAATTTTAGTTAGTAGCACTATCATTCCTTCAGTTGCCAGAGCCCCAAACCCGGGAGTTCTTCTAATCTCTCCCTTTATCATCCAGATGGTGATCAAGATCTATTGATCCACTTCTTAAAATTTTTCCTATTGAGTGTGGAAAAGCATGTGGAAAAGCAGGCAGGCACTCTCATATTTTGTTTGCAGGAGTATAAATGATCACAACCATAGCAATTTGAGGTATATATCAAAAGTTTTAAAAACGTGCATGTCCTTTCTCCCAACACTTTCATGTCTAGTAATTTAACCTAAGGGAATCATTGGAGCTGTGTTCACAGATCTATGTACAAAAATTACTATACTAGCAAAATTTTATAAATAACCTAAATTTCCAATAGGATTCCTTAAATACATATGGCAAAGTCATAAAATGGAATACTGTAAAGTCAATAAAGTTACATTGTAGAATATTTTTGACACAGGAAAAGGTACCTGATATATGGTACATTTAAAAAATGTACACATAAAAAAAAAGATTCAAAATATTAGTACAATGTAACACCATTTTTGTAAAAAAATATTTGCTTCCTAAAAGAGCATATAATGATATATTAACCGTGGTTATTTTAGGTAGTGGGATGATGGCCTTTTTAATTTGTGCTTCTCTGAGTTATTCCCATTTTCTCCATTGAACCCATATTTATTTTGTGGTTAGGCAAAATGTTTTATTTTAAAAATTCTCTCCTAGTCAACAAACTCTTTTTTTCACTGCAACAGTCTCTCCTCATCTCTCACCCACATCCTCCCTCCTCATCTTTCACCCCCCACTGGCCTTCCTGCCCTCAGTCCCAACCCCTCCCCCCTGACAATGTGGCCAGAGTGGCCTAACTCACAATTCAAACACCTGGAGTCCCATGTCCATGCTTGATAGCTGGAGTGGCCCTTCTTGGACTGCAGAGTTCTCTATTACCCAGGGCTAACCCCTTCTGCTCTACCAGTTTCAGTTTCTGGTGGGTTTTCTGCCCACGGGTTTTCCCACAACTCTCTTCTGCTGGAAGCCTCCTTCCCTGGCTCACTCAGTAGACATGCCCTTCAGGCCCCAGGAGTGCCCACTTCCACTCCTGTTTCTGGCTCTTCGATCAACCAGTGTGCTTCTGCTAGTGCTCATTCCATGCTGGGTAACCCTACTTTGTCCACTTGTTTGCTGTGAGTTCCTCAAAGACAGGATCTGCCCTTCCTTTTTGCATCCTGAGAGCTTACATGTAAAGATACTAACGAAAGGTTTGTTAGATGATACACATAGATAAATTCTCTTAGGCAGAGTCACAGTTAGACTTACAGATCTGCTCTCCCTTTTGTGAAAGCTGCACAAACCCACTTGGCCACCGATCTTCAAGCACAGATACACAGACACAATGAGATTGTGATATATAGGCATAAAAACATGCCCGCAGGACATTTTCTATCTCACAGGCAGCCTCAGGGCCTGTGACTTCCTGATCACTGTCCGGAACTTTCAGTTTTTCTATTCTCTTAGTTCTTCAGGTGGCTAGTTCTTTCTTTCATCTTTCTTGTCTCAGTTCAATGTCACCTTGAGAGAAAGTTTTCCATGACCTCTCTAAGTAGCTCTCCCTTCCATTTCCATTACCCTGTTTATTTCCTTTACAGCATTTTGGAAATTCATAAAACCTTTATTTCTTTTCTGTTTTTTTTGAGTCTGAGTCTCACTCTGTTACCCAGGCTGGAGTGCAGTGGCATGCTCACAGCCACCACAGCCTCGACCTGCTGGGCTCTGGCAATCCTTCTGCCTGTCTTCCAAAGTAACTGGAACTACAGGCCTGTGCCACCATGCCCTGCTAATATTTTGATTTATTGTAGAGATGAGGTCTTACCAAGTTACCCAGGGTGGTCTTGAATCCGTGGGCTCAGACAATCCTCTCACTTCGACCTCCCAAAGTGCTAGGATTATAGGCGTAAGCCACTGTACCTGGCCTTGTTTATTTCTTATTTATTATCTGTCTCTCTCTAGCTCCTATCCTGGTGTAATTCCATAAGGGCAGGATCTTGTGCTATTTTATATACCATTGTAAATTCTGTGCCTAGGCAAATGAATAAAATACACACACATACAAGGCTACAAATAATTACAAACACATGACAACCACACATTGCCAGCCAACCAGACACACATGGTCGTACACTCTGGCCTGCCCCTCCCCGCTGGCCTTTACTTACCGGAGTCAGAAACTTGTTGGCCTCCCAAGCCCACAGAGGGGGGTCCTTATAGACCTCCTTGATGGAGGTAGGGGCCCTGTAGGAGTCGGTGTAGGTACTGATAGGGGTCTTGGTCTTACGGGAGAAGAGGAACATGGTGTGGTCTCGGGAATGCTGTGGTGGGCTGTACCTCCCAAGGGCTCTTGCTGGACATTGGTGACTACCCCTTCCCCTAGATGGCCCACACCTCCAGCCTGACAGGTGCCCCTAGCTGCTGTGACTCCCTCCTGTGGAGGATCCCTCAGCTTCCTTCCCCCACAGACTTCCTGCTCCAACCCCACCCTGCTTCTCTCTCCAGGATGGGCACTGCCCATTATGATATCACCTGGCTCAGCCCCATCCCTTGGGAGGTGAGGAGGTCTAATTCCCTCCCTACTCCTGGTCCCTTCCTGCCTTAAACCTCTCAAAAGAGCCCAATTTCTAAGAGTTCAGAGGGCCTCTAGAGCTCACTTTATTGAAAATAAACAGAAGTTCCAAAAGGTTGTGACTCACCCAGGGTCATGCAGCAGGCCAGTGGCATCCCAGGAACCCATGGGTGGAGGTAGAGTGACATGTGCATCCAGAGGATTCATTCTCTCCCCCTCCCAGCCCACCTGCCCCTTGCCCACACCCCAGGAAGGGAGTTGAGACTGGCTTGTTTGATGCTTTTAATATCATTATTTGTGTTACACGATACACAACCAAGGATGATGGTCAATACTGCAATGAAAATGTTAAAAAAAATATTATACACGGCTCATGTCTTCCACACACCTTTCAGGAAATAAATTAGTGAGCACGGAGAAACCTGGCTGGGTGGCAGCCAGAGCTGAGGGCAGAGGGAGTGTTAAGGCAGTATCTACAGGGGAAAAAGGTGGCAGGACGGCAAGCTAAGGCCTTGATTCTTTCCCTCCAACCTCCCAGACTGACAAGGGAGGACCCCCACACACTCTCTAGACACAGAAGCTACTGGCTGCCAGCTTCCTGCCTCTCTCTGCCACACATACACTGCCTCAGTCAACAGCGCTTGCTTGCCGGGGAACTGGTGTGTCCTGGGGGAGGGAGTTTTTCTCTGGTTCCTCAGAGCCACAGAGACTGAACAATGGGCCAGAGTCACACAGCAAGTCAGCAGCAAAGGCAGTGGCCTAAGTGAGCCCGGAAAAGAGAAGGTACCTATGTTCTAGTAAGGTGTACAGGAGTCCAGGGTGGTGGTGGTGGTGGTAGTCGGAGACCTGACTCTGGGGTCCAGGCGACGGGAGGTGGGGATGCTGACCAGGGTGGGAGAGATGGGCTCAGATGGGGGCCAGTATGAGCCCCGTAAGCCCTGCAGATACCTCCTCTGTCCTTGCCTCCCTTTGGCATTTTCTCATCATCTAACTAGGGCCCCTGCTCAAGAAGAGCTGGGGATGGGACGGGTTGGAGGAGTGAGAAGGTGGAGAGCTACACCCCAGCACTTTGGAGTAGGCAGCTCCTGGATGTAGTACAGAGAGAGGTGCTACCCTTCCTAAGTCGGCACTGACTCCCTCCTCTCATTACCCCACCTTCCAACTCCCACCTCCCAGGATTGGTGTCAGAGCAGGCTGTGGGTGTGTCCATTTCGTTGCAGCATGAGTAGCATCCATGAGAGCAGATACCCTGGCATGTGGGATGTTAGCATTGAGGAACGGGTGAGTATACACCTTGGCCCTGTGATGTAAGTTTGTGGGGCATAGGCCTGAGTAGTCTTAAGCTATCTGTGCTTTCATTTTTTCTTCACATGGGGCAAGTCTATATTGATCAACCCCCTATTCCCCTCCTCTCTCTTGATTTTATCCTTAGTTTTCCTGCCCCCTGCCCCCAAACCAGCAATAGCAGAAGCAGCAGTATACACATTCTGACCCACAGACACTCCATACAGCTACACACACAATAGATAATTCCTGCCCCCGCCCCCACATTCCCAAAAAGATCCACATGTACTCAGACATACACAGTCCTGATAGGAACTGCCCTTTTCCCTTTCTACACACACACACAATTCAGGGCCCCCCTAGGTGTACTCAAAACCACACTGGGATCTCCCCATACTCTCCACAGAAATTCCCATGATTAATTCCTTCAGGTATAAAAGGACCTTAAGAATAATTTCAGCTGCTGTTCTTTTTATACTTGAGGAAACTAAAGCCCAGGGGAAGTAAGTGGCTTGCTGATGATCACAGGGAGAGTGCCAGAGCTAGGACCAGAACCCAGGCTTCTGCTCCCTGTCCAATGCTCTCACTCCATGGTGTTGCTGAGCAGCCTCTCATGGTCACTTGCCCACCAGGACACCCACATCTATGATAGGACACACACTCTCGGACAGCCTCCGACAGACACACATGCTGCCAAGTGCTCCCCACCATTTCCAAACAGCCATATCCATACAGCCACTCAGTCCACTGTATTCTCCTAAGCTTGCTCCTTGATTCCTACTGGGAACCAGCCTCTCGGCTCTTGGGCTGGGATGAGAGGAGACCAGGACACTGGAGTGCAGCCTTACTCCCTGCTTGCAGCCTGGAACTGGGACCAATGAACAGAAGGGTGGGTGGGGGTGGGGAAGGGGCAGCAGCCGGATAGATGCATTGGTTGGGAGCCATGAGGACAGATCATACCACCCCAAACTCTGGCCTGTCTCTAAGGCCCACCTTACCTTGCCCCACTCCCAGGGAGCAAGGAAGGGGGTGGATGGGGCAAAGAGGAGGAAGAAGGCAGTGATTCGATGGGTGAGGGGCCATATCCGGTTGGACAGCTTTGACAGGCTTCCCATCCGATGAGGGAAAAAATGCAGAAAGGTACATGGGCCGGCAGGGGGCATGTGGAGGGGGCTGTGAGGTGCCGGGACCTGCCCCCACTGCCCTGGGCCTTTCTCCCTCCGAGCCCCTTTCTTGGTTAGGCTGGGCTTTGGTGGTTCATGGCTTCGCTGGGGTAGGGCCAAGCCCCTGGCTTTGTGATCCCTCACCCCACGCATTATGTTGGTCTCCCTGCCGTCCAGTCCTCTTCCCCACCCCCAGCCCGCCATCAGACTACAGCCTTGAGGAGCGGGGCAAGGTGCTGGGTTAGGTCCCCAAGTAACTGGACAAACAGCCCCCACCCCTCCTCAGCCCTCAGGTGGAGAGAGACCCGGTTTTGGTTTCTCCGGCTCCATGAACACACAGAGGTACACGTCCTACCATAGGAGGAAGCAATGACTGTTACGAGGTTGGCGGCTGTAAGGGTCTCGGGGGCCGGGGGCAGGCGGACAAGCTGGGGAGGGGTCAGCCTCTGCCCCGTCCAGCCTGGCCCGTGTCATCCCCGCACAGCGGCCGCGGCGGCCCCGCCTGCTACTGAATGTGGCAGGCGGTGGAGGACGTGGCCTGGCAGCACATGCAGGTCGGGTTCACGGACTTGGGGGGGATGAGGTCTAGGTCCTCGTCGTCGGGGATCTCGTCTAACCGGTAGCCATCCTTCAGCAGCTGGATGTTCAAATCTTGGTTGATCTGCTGTAGACAACGGGGAGGGAGGTCAGGCTCGGGCAGCAGCGAGGCAATACCTGAGGCTCAGCAGTAATCCCGGGCCATCCGTGACCAGCCCTAGGTGGCGCCCGGCCGAATCCCCTCCCTGGCTGTCAGCAACCGCAGACTCCGCCCCTTCCTAGGCTCCGCCCTCTGCTCTGGCCTCACTTTCCTAGTGGCACATCCTCATGAGGCCCCGCCCTGTCACAGACCCCGCCCCTTTATAAGGTCAACTTTTTATCTCTGGTCCTGCTTCAATATGGGTTCTGCCCCTACTTAAGGTGTCGTCTGTATTTCACACCCCCATTCTATTAAAAAACCCTGCTCTGATCTCAAGCCTAACCCTGAGGTCCCACCCTTGATGCCAGTGATTTCTTCTTCTCTAACCTCTTCCAGGCCCCGCCCCATGCGGGGCTCCACCCACCTATGGGGATCTACCCACCCATGGGGCTCTGCTCAGTTTTGCCTCTTCTCCCTTTTAGGGTGCAATTTGGCTTGGATGCACCTCTTCTCCTTGTTAGAGGTGATTCTGCCAGGGTATGTCTAGGGCGGGAAGGGGTAGGTGCTCACCTCAGCAGAGGAGTAGCCAGATGAGGAGTATCTGGACATGTCAAAGTCATCATCGCTGGCCATGGAGGAAAGAGGACAGAGGGAAAATGATTCAGGGAAATTAAATAGAAATTTAATTCCCAGCACCCCCCCCCTTCACAATGGTTCCAAATAAACAGCTGCACTTCCTGTGCAAATATAAACTTTTAAAGCTTGGCCCCACCCTTTTAAATAAATCGCTACCCTTAACCTCCTTCTGGATAGAACTGCTACTCCCTTCACCATCTTCCCTCCTGCCTTTTTTTCTAAGGCTTAAACCACCCTGACTTGTGGAGTTTTTCCAAAGTCCAGGTCTAGCAAAGTGTTTTTATAGTTCAAGTTCCTCCTTTAGAGGGACAGTAAGCATTGATTCCTGCTGTCCAGAGACGACATCATGGCCCATTTGAATCAGTTGTTCCAGGATGGCAGCAGACAGCACAAGTCTCCCTTTTCTCTCCCAGTTTTTCTCTCTCTGCCCATGCCCCTACCCCCAGCCACAGAAAATTCCACTCCCTTGGGAAACTCACCCTTGGAGAGATCCTGGCTGAGGAATACCCCCATTCTGACTATATAACAGGTGTGACCTGTACATAGGTTCCTCTGCCTTGCCCAGCAGTGCCCAGGCCCCCATACACACCTGTCTGTGTCAAGAGCTACCAGTGGCTTCTCATCTGGGCTCTGGTCAAGCGAGGAGTAGCCTTTATTGGGGACGACCAGCCTGGATGAAGAATTTTGGGAGTTGGAGTGGCAATTGAAGCACACAAACCTGGTAGGGGGGACTGGGTTGAGCCCTCTCCACCACTTCCCTCCCTCCCCCACCTTGGACCCCATTGAGGTGCTCTCCTCTTAGAGAGGAGCTGGGCCTGAGGAGGGAAAGATAAGGGAGAAGTTCAGGACCAGAGAGATAGGTGCTGATTGGAGGGTACAGGTAGGTGGAGAGGGCCTCTACCTCGTCCGGGCCATGACATTATTCTTCTTGGGTTGCTGGTTGACGGGGCTACCCATACTGCCATTCTTCAGGGAGCCCTTCCTGGCCAGCTCCCGCTGCTTCTCTGTGGGAGAACATGGGAAGGAAGCTGTGTCCTGCCCTAGGCCCACCCCGCCTTACCACTCAGGGCAGCCTGGGCTAGGCTTCCATTGTGAAACTGCGTGCTCCTATAAGGAGTGAGGCAAAGATCCCAACTCCAGGTCCCTGCTGCTTGGTGTATATAGTATGTGGCCCTGTACAACCTGAGGCAGATAGTGGGGAGCAAAAGGAGGGGGCTGACCCCTGTCTTCCAGAAACCACACTCCCATGTGGGGCAGTAAATGTGTGTTTGATGCCAGGGAAAAGCTGGAGAGGGAGGGATAATCACAGTAGGATGCGACAGTCAGGGAGAGCTTCCTTTAGGTGACACCATGAGTTAGACAAGGAGGGATAGTGTATATAAAAATACATTTAGAAATGAGCATAAGTGTGGATCTGGATGGGATGGAGGGGTGAGGAGGAAGAGAAGTCAGGCTAGAAAAGTAGGATGCATTTGTGAAGTCACTTACTCATCCAACAAACATCTGTGTCACCAATCATGTGTCCGGTGCTATGCTAAGAGACTGAAGACTTCCTCTGATTGCAAACTCCGAGCATGAAAATCTTGAATGCCAGACAGAGGGGTTTGGGCTTAATGCAGAAGGAAGAAGGAACAACCCAAAGGTGTGATGTGGGAAGGGCAGAATGGGGCTGGCAGAGTGGCAGCAGGAGGCTGGGGAGCTATACTGCCTAAGTGATGCTCCTGACTCCTCTGCCAGCTGCATTCTCTAAGACTCCAGAGCCTTCCAGGTTCATGGAGCTGGCCATCAGGTGACTCAATGCCTGGTGTGTGACAACTGTGACCAGCAGTAGCTGCTGGCTCTGGAAGAGTCCTACCTACTCGTCTCAAGTAAAGCCCAGATCTAGGAAAAGGAATTGTTGGGTAGAAAACACTAGGGGATACCATCTTATAAAATAACCATGTACTCCAGAGGGTAAGGATGGGAAGGGCCTTTATGGTACTGTGACTCACTTGAAACTTCCTCTGACTCCATGTCTCTGAATCTCTCCTCTCCTGCTCTTGGATTCTCTTTCTTTGCCACTGCTCAGCTTTTTTCCAGCCTCCTTCCCAGCAGGTGGCAGCTGTCTTTACCACTCTGAGCCTCTAGAGGGTGCAATTTGCCTTAAAGTTCTTGGTGGTAATTTTCCTTAGCGCAACTTGGGACAATGCTGTGAATTTTCATGAGGCTCTTTGGTGGTAATGTAATGGGGGAAAAAATGTTATTTTAAAAGCATGCTGAACTTGTTTGAAATAGTGGAAAAAATGCAAACAATAAACTGGCAAAAACCAAATTATAGGCTACTATGCAACCACTTAAAAGAATGAAGTCATTTTCTATGTACTGACTTTGGAAGGGGCTCCAAGGCATTAAG